TCTGCAAGTTGCTGTGAGTGAATATCATTATTGGGAGCCACCTGAAATCATCAGTAAGCAGCAGCTCATTGATTTGGACTTTATACACTTAGGACCTGGTGCACAGGCTTGCCAAGCTGAACAGCTTGCAATCAGGTTTGACATGCAAGGAGACAGCCCAATTTTAGTCACCAAAAGTGTTCAAGAGCAGTATGGAGAAACATTCTGCTAAAGCGAGATGCATTTACTTTACCGTAGGTCAATAATTACCAGTAATCTGTCTTGATAGAAGCTGAAATCAGCTTGATGATTGGCAAGGCTGCATTTGTCATGTCGAGTTTGGATCAACAGTAAATTAACCTTCTAAACTAAGTCTCCATGTGTATTTGCTTGTGTTCTTAGCATCACCTTTTATTGCCGTGAATCATGGTCAAATTATGACAGCCAAGAAAAGTGACTGACCAGCTTCCACCTCCACTGCCTCACATGAATAACAAGCATCTCCTTATGGGGTAAAGTGCTGACTACAGAAGCAGACCTGTGTGCAGGCGTCCCCAACCTGTTTGCCTCCTTGAGTCAGCAGTGACTCTGTTGGCTGGATCATATTAGCCAAATGGATGATGCTGTATAGTATACTTGCTGTGGGCATGAGGCCCAATGGTCACCCACATCTGCGAGACAACAATGTCTGCAAATGAGACCTTAAATTAAGAGGCATTGGCGTTGATCAATGGGAAGTCCTTGCTGCTGACTAGAGTACCTGGAAACAGGGCAGCCAGGAAAGGTGTGGACAAAGCAGAGGACAGTGAAATGACCAGACACGAAAAAGAAAGCCCAACAGAAGGGACTATTGATCTCATGCCAAAGCTATTCATTTGTTCCAGTTGCAGAGGAGATTGTCATTCAATATCAGCCACAGTAGATTAGGTTCAATCCAGAAGTAACATACAACTGAGTGACAGTCCATCATCTCTCAAGACTGATGGATGCAAACATCTCTATATAAGTAACAAGTAACTTAATAGAACTCTGCTATTTTTATGACATGCTATTTTTCATACTGCAGCTTTGTATGTCATTGGAAGACATTATAGTAGAACACTACATACCACAGTGAATGTTTTTTTTAAAAATTAACTTTAGCTCCATGGAAATGAAACCTTTTGACATGATTTTACTTCAGACAAGCCTAGTTGAATTTATTGAAATAACCACCAGGGGGCAATAAGGGAAACAAGACTATTTCTGAGAGCTGGCAAGATCTGCAGATGCTGGAGTCAGAGACAACACAGTGTGGAGCTGGAGGAACACAGCAGGCCAGGCAGCATCAGAGGAGCAGGAAAGTTGACCTTTTGGGTCAAGACCCTTTCTGCAACTTTTTCCCATTTGTATACATCACACATAAATAACAATTACATGTACTGTAACTCTATTAAAGATTATCATAACGGATACTGATTATTTTTCGTCAGTAATTAATCAATCAGAATGAGAAATTTCATAGAACTTTCCACTTTAATTCAAATATTCAGCATTTGAAGTATTTCACTTTTACATTAGTTTGAGATCTTGTCTATGTAAATCCTCCATTACACTTTTATTTTGATGACCACAAATTTGTCTCAGTGTCCTTACCAATTTTCAACTCTCAACAAACACCGAAAATGTGGACTGCATAGTCATGTAAATAGTGCTGGTGCATCACTGTTGTGTAAATGAAACAACATATTGAAAATAACATAAAGGCTAATCAAGGACTTTGTGATATCCTGAGTATGGGAAAAATGTAATGACCCTTCCACCTCAGAGGTGGCGAGGACAGTGGTGGTGAGGATTCTGGTGATTCAAGGCAAATAATTGGATGAGTTTGGATACTCGTTTCTCTTGTTGCCATTTCAGCAATAATGTGCTGGGTGAGGAGATCACCGGGGACCTTCCTGACTGCAAAAATTAGACCTTTAAGTTGTCAATTAAAGGGCCTTGACTCACCACTAGCCCAAATATCTGGGTTCTGGCAGTCAAGAAAAGTGGCTCATTCCCTGACAGGACGAACACATGGTGTCTTGCATGTTGGCTGGGGGTAGGACTTCTGTTTGTTCTAATCTGGTGCCTTTTGGGGGAAATAGAGGGTGTGCTGAAAGCCACCCCTTGCCCTTGTCCCTGATTCTCCTGGCCCACTGTCCCTACAACCACTACCTCACAAGACCCAAAAGAAATGCACACAGTTTCATTATTGGATCCCCTGAAGACTGAGGCTCCATTGACAATTTCTTGGACTCAGAAACTGATGGCTGATTGGCTGATAGCTTCTGCCATGGCAGAACTTCAAGGTCAAAGCTTGTGCTCCATTAGAGAAGCTTATTGGTCAGCTCTTTGATGTGTTATATCTCACAGCCAGTGTGCAGTATACTTTTAACAGACATGCGCATAATAGCGTCACCATATCTCAGCATGTGACCTGTAGGTATAAAGGCATCGGTCTCCATCTTAAATTGAAGCATGACATTGTAAACATGTGAATGTTTATAACTGAACACCATGGTATAAGCCCAGAAGATGTATTGACTGATTTATGGAGGTATGTGCCCTCAGGATCTATATTGACCACTTGTACAATCCTTCAGTACCACATTACACTTGTCTAGTTCTTATATCTCAGGAGCAAAGTATTGCCTCATCAGGTACAGATACTTTGCTGGAGTCAAATGCCTACCACATGATGGTAGACCAGGATGGCAGCACAGTGGTAAGCAACAGAAGCTTCTTGTAACAGTTCTCGGTGTCAGGTACCTGAAATTCACACAGACAATCTGAAAGCCTTGGTCTTCAAAGTGTGCGGAAAACAAACAGCATCAATTTCTGTGAACACAGACCTGAAAACTAAACACCCAGGAGGCAAGCTTATAGTCTCTTTCTACTCAAACTAGAAGCCTTGTCTTGACTTCTTTAAAAAAGTCATGTAAACAGCAGTCAAAGGTGATTCTCAGTTTGAAAACAGAGTCCTCATGAACAAATACACAGCTTCTAAAAGACTAAAAAGCACTCTTCTAATCTAAGACGACTTACCTGAGTGCAGAGCTCAGTTGGTTGCACTACCTTGTCACTTTAATTCTGCGCCTTTTCAATTCATTACACAGCACTATATTTTATTTGGCCTGGATGCCAGTTAGCTAGAGGTAAAAACTTTGTACTGCAAGGCCTGTATTCCTCAAAGCACCCATCCCAAAATGATCAAAAATTATTAAAGGGACTGCAACAGTGAAAGATTACGTTAAAGAGGAGCAAAAGAGGGGAAAAGAAAATTAAGCAGAATAGATAAAAGAACAGTACAAATAAACAGTGCATATTGTAGTGATTGTAACAAGGTCAGGCAGTTGGACCTCAGAGAATATGAGTTCCCTGATTGGGGCTGTTAATCTGGTACAAATAGGGAGCCCTGGCTGACATATAAAAAGGGTAAATGTCAGATATTGACACTCTGGCGCCTGACTCTGAATGAGGCAGTATTATAGCCAGGGGCTGTTCATGTGTAAACAAAAGGTGACTTAACACTAGGATAGTAGGAACTGCAGATGCTGGAGAATCCGAGACAACAAGGTGCAGGGCTGGATGAACACAGCAGGCCAAGCAGCATCATCCCTCACACCCCGTCCATGCAATAAAAACCAAAAAAGAATCCCCCTCGTCCTCACGTACCACCCCACCAACCTCCGGATCCAACGCATCATCCTCCGACACTTCCGCCATCTGCAATCCGACCCCACCACCAAAGACATCTTTCCCTCCCCACCTTTATCTGCTTTCCGGAGGGACAACTCTCTCCGTGACTCCCTTGTCCGCTCCACACTCCCCTCCAGCTCCACCACACCTGGCACTTTTCCCTGCAACCGCAGGAAATGCTACACCTGCCCCCATACCTCCTCCCTCACCCCCATCCCAGGCCCCAAGAAGACTTTCCACATCAAGCAGATGTTCACCTGCACATCTGCCAATGTGGTATACTGCATCCGCTGTACCCGGTGTGGCTTCCTCTACATCGGGGAAACCAAGCGGAGACTCGGGGACCGCTTTGCAGAACACCTACGCTCGGTTCGCAACAAACAACTGCACCTCCCAGTTGCGAACCATTTCAACTCCCCCTCCCATTCCTCAGACGACATGTCCATCCTGGGCCTCCTGCAGTGCCACAACGATGCCACCCGAAGGTTGCAGGAACAGCAACTCATATTCCGCTTGGGAACCCTGCAGCCCAATGGTATCAATGTGGATTTCACAAGTTTCAAAATCTCCCCTCCCCCCACCGCATCCCAAAACCAGTCCAACTCGTCCCTGCCTCCCTAACCTGTTCTTCCTCCCACCTATCCCCTCCTCCCACCTCAAGCCGCACCTCCATCTCCTACCGACCAACCTCATCCCGCCCCCTTGACCTGTCCGTCCTCCCTGGACTGACCTATCCCCTTCCTAACTCCCTACCTACACTCACCTTTCCTGGCCCCATCCCCGCCTCTTCGACCTGTTTGTTTCCTCTCCACCTATCCTCTCCTCTATCCCTCTTCTATCCGCCTCCCACTCTCTCCCTATTTATTTCAAAACCCCCTTCCCCTCCCCCTTTTCTGATGAAGGGTCGAGGCCCGAAACGTCAGCCTCTCTGCTCCTATGATGCTGCTTGGCCTGCTGTGTTCATCCAGCCCTGCACCTTGTTGTCTGTTAACACTAGGATACCTGCCTCTGTCGAGTTATTTCACATTCCACTTTAAAAAAAAATCACATTCAACATTGCATGGAAGGCAAGCATTTCATTATGGATTGGGCAATAAATGATATCTTTACTAAATTACAGCAAGACAAGAAACATGCACAACTTTATTTTGTAAATCAAATGATAAACAATTCCAGGATGAAACTTTTGGCAATCTTACTTTATAATGACATGGAAGTGCTTCGCAGAAAACATCCAACCATTCCATGGATGATAAAAAAGATCCACAAAATATCTGCTGAGTGCTCAAAGACCAACACAGGGTAAGATGATTCCTAGTGGTCTAGGGTGCAGGCTTCAAACCTGTAGCTATCCAGCAACAGAGTGGCTCAATTCCACCTTCCAGGTGGAGTGTGAATTGGGGTTTGTTGCTACATTTTAAAGGTGGCATGGTGGCTCAGTGGTTAGCACTGCTGCCTCACAGTGCTAGGGACCCAGGTTCAATTCTACCCTCAGGTAACTGTCTGTGTGGAGTTTGCACATTCTCCCATGTGAATGGGTTTCTTCCCACAGTCCAAAGATGTGCAGGTTAAGTAGATTGGCCATGCTAAATTGCCTGTAGTGTTCAGGGATGTTGTAGGGGAAGGGTCTGGGTGGGATGCTCTAAGGGTTGGTGTGGACTTGTTGTCACTTTTATTGCTATCAAGACTTGCAAACTGGGATTTCCTTCCTGCTATGTTGCTCTGGTCACATCACGAGCCCAGAGTTTCTCCATGTACCCAACAGTGGCTCTGTAGGAACTAAGTAAATTTATACAAGCTTAAGATTATTCTCAACATTAAAAACAAGGGGAGCCTTGTTGCATAGATTTTGAGTGCAGATTCCACCTTGGAAGCAGAAGTTTTGACAAGTGATATATTACCTTCCACCTTCATAAATTATCTACATACAGAGTGGTTCATTTATACTGGACAATATGAAACACATTTGTCTATTAATCAAACAGAATCAATCCTATCTCCTTTTTCCACTTGCATTTTAATTAACTGCAATGGTTTTGGTGTAAATGAACTGCAAAATTCACAATTTATTCATTCCTGTTTCTCATTAACAATAAAAGCAATCAGTATGATAAACTCATTTTTGTAAATACGCAATAGCTCAATGTCACTTTAAAGGCCTTCTCTAGAAATTTCAACTGAATTTTGTTGGCACATCAAGCAAATTTAATTTTTTATTGAATATTCAGTTAGCACTGGATTTTAACAGCTTTCAGTTGTGATTGACTCAGTTGCTGAATTTTGTTGAAGCAGAAAGACATCACATTTCCACTAGTTGCCATACTATTTTATTTTATTCATTTACAGGAAGAGGGCATCGCTGGCTAGCAGCCCATCCCTAATTGCCCAGAGGGCAGTTAAGAGTCAACCACATCACTGTGGGTCTGGAGTCACATGTAGGCCAGACCAGTGAAGGATGGCAGTTTCCTTCCCTGAAGGATATTAGTGAACCAGATGGTTTTTTACAACAATCAACCATGGATTCACGGTCATCATGAGATGATTAATTCCGGATTTTTTTTATTAAATTCAAATTCCAGCATCTGCCATGGTGGGATTCAAACCCGGGTCCCCAGAACATTATTTGGATCTCTGGATTAACGGTCCAACAATAATACCACTAGGCCATTGCCTCCCCACTAGAGGTGCTGGTCAATTAAAATGGACTTAATGTTGTTCCCAATCACTTCCAGAACAAATCATGCCAACTGTCAACGTAATAGCATGGACTTTATGTGCATTTAAGGAATGACCACAGATTGGGCAGGGTGTAAAGTTGATTTGATGCCCAACCTATCATTTTGGACCTCACCATTCCAGTTAACACCCTCTCTTAAACACTTGCATCTGAGTACACGGTATCTCTGCAAAAAGGACTCCCCTCTCTCACAACAAAATCTAGCCAAACATCCCCACACCCACACTCCAGCAAAAGTCACATTGAAGCAGGTTGTCAACCATGCCCTTTGTTATAGATAAGGTGAATGGCAGGTGTCTTTTCCCTAGGGTGGGGGATTTCAAGACTGGGAGAAGACTGGAGAAAGATCTTAAAAAGACATGAGAGGCAATTATTTTACACAGAGATTGGTTTGTGTGTGGAATGAACTTTTAGAGTTGGATGGTACAGTTGCAACATTTAAAAGACATTTGGATAAGTACGTGACTAAGAAATGTCTGGAGGGATATGAGCCAAGTGCAGGCAGGTGCAACTAGTTTAGTTTGGGATTATCTTTGGCATGGACTGATTGGAACAAAGGGTCTGTTTCCATGCCATATCACTCTATGATTCCATGTGATTTGATTTTAAAAGACAACCTCAAGTTGCAGAATTTCTCAACTCTGGCCAAAATAAACTGAATGCTCTCAACTGAACAAATATTTTGCCTGCAATACTTCCTTACACAACAATTCCAGTGCGTCACAATGGTAGTTCTAGCTGTTTTTTTATGTCAGTTCTCTTGCTTGGTGAAAGAGCCTTCCTTCGGCCCAACTCACTGACTGGCTTAGATTGAGCCTTGGTTTTTCATTGCATTACCACTCCACCAACAACACTCACCCCCCAACTCCTCCACTCCCACCCCACCTATCCATTATGACATGCTTTTTGCCCAGCCTGCCTTATGTACAAGTCAGGAGTAGACTGTTGAGAGTTCACCAAGTAGGCTTTTGTGATGCAGTGGTCAGAAGGCCCAGGTTCAAGTCCCACCTACTCCAGACACCACAAATGCTGGGTACATGGATTTCAAATTTATCTGTGATCCTTAAATCTCCATGGTATACACATGCCTGGATCACAGAAGACCAAAGATTGGCTACCTCTGGTAAAAGGATGAATTACATGATCATTACAATTTGAATCTTCTTGAACTGTTGCCATCTTGAATCATGACTCAAATGTCCTAAGGTTAATGTTTAGGGAAGAATTTCCCACTTTTAATTTCAAAACCAGAGTTAGAGATTTGAGCAGACATGAGCCACTTTGATCTTCATTGCCTCTACTGCAAACTGAAGTTAGTAAAATATATTCACAATGATACAAGAATAAAAATAAAAATGTAGCCTGAGCTTTTCCAATTTTGATTTAATTTTGGTGTAAATTTTGGTGTAAATTTGATGTAAATTTGGTGTAAATTTGATGTAAATTTGGTGTAAATTTAGTGTTGTGAACATCTACAGATTGAAAAGGAAGAATATGTCAAGCCCTATCATTTACTAGCTGTTCTGACCTCCCTCGCTGGCTTTGTCGAGGGTCTAACTGCAGATACAACAGTGCCCGTCACTCCTAGATCTGTGCTACAGATCACAAGACATAGGTGTAGAAGAGAGCCATTCAGTCCATCTTGTCTACTATGATCTGAGAATCCTCAATTACACTTTCCTGTCTTACGCCCATAAACCTTGTTCCATTACTAGTTAGAAATTTGTTTGTATCAGCCTTGTATATTCTTGATGATTCACCCTCAACAGCCCTCTAGTTCCACAGATTTACTACCCTCACAGCGAAGAAATTCTTCCTTTTCTCTGTCTTAAACAAATGACCGCTTATGATTGTCCTCTCTGGTCCTAGACTCTCCCACAAAAGAAAACAACAACCTCATGTGTCTAGGAGATAGCAGTGACTGCAGATGCTGGAAGTCCTAGTCAATAAAATGTGGAGCTGGAAAAGCACAGCAGGTCAGACAGCATCAGTGGAGCAGGAAAGTCGACGTTTCGGGTCAGCATCCTTCCTCAGGACTCTTTGCATCTACCCTGTCAAGCCCCTGAGAATCTTAAATGATATAATAAGGTCTTATCTCATTCTTCTAATCTCCAATGAGCACAGACCCAACTTCATCAAACTTGCCTCATAACCCAATCCCTCCTTTTGCAGGATCAACCTAATGAATCTTCTCTGGACTGCCTTCAGTGCCAATAAATCTTTATATTAATAAAGAGACCGAAACTGTTCGCAGTATTATAGGTGTGGCATTATTAGTGTCTTGTATGGCTTTAGCAAGACTTCCCCATTTTTATACTTCATTCCCTTTGAAATAAAGGTCAACATTCCATTTGCCTTGCCCATTACCTGCTGCTCTTGTCTACTAGTTTTTTGAGATTCGTACACAAGACTCCCAAATTCCTCTCTGCTGTAGCTTCGTGCAGTCTTTCTCCAATTGACTAATTTTCAGTTCTTCTATTCTTCCTGCCAACGTGTGAAACATCATACTTTCCCAAATAACATTCTATGAGTAAAGTTTTCGTGCACTTGCTTCACCTGTCTATGTCCCTCTGTAGATTCTTACATTATTTTTGGTTAAGGCCAAGTTGCATTACATTGTTTGGAGGGATTCCCATCACAAGGTCCAGCTGTGTCTTAACAAACTCACCTCATGCACTGCCTGTAATGCTCAATGCTGTCCCTCACATCCAATTCTATTCTTATCTTACCATACGACATTCCTGAAACAACCCGCCACTTGTTGATTGACAAGCATCCCTTCTGCCCATCTCACCTTTTAAAAACTCATTGCGTACCTGGACAAGCATTGTCAGTCTGGAGCTATTATTATCACAATAATGCAAATATTTGTGGACATGTGGCACATGTAACCAGTGCCCATGGAGTTTGTCTTGAGAGATTGGCTGTTTAGAGCAAGCGGTGAGCCATAGTAGATCTAAGGTGATAGCGGAAGAGTAGGCAGCGTCCGGGCTCCTCAGCCTCAGGGTCATCCACTTTGTCCGTTTTTATTTATTTTCTCATTCTTCCTTTTTTACTTTAAGTTTTTTCTTAGTGATTTTAAAAAACTCACTTTGGAGCAGCGATGCAGTGCGGGCTGGAGGCATGGAGTGGAGTGAGCTTTAGGCCCACGCAAGCAGGGACCAACAACGGGCTGGAGGGCCAGGCGGAGCAGGAATGGCCAACAGGGCTGGAGGCTCAGGCAGAGCAGGGATGGCCAACAGGGCTGGAGGCCCAGGCAGAGCAGGGATGGCCAACAGGGCTGGATGCTCAAGCGGAATGGCACGGATGTTGGAGTCAGGACTAGCACGGGTGGTCAGTGCTTTGTGAGCCCAGTCAGACCAATTGTGGAAGTCCCCTGCGCTGATTTACTGCAGGACCTCTATAGAATGACTGTAATATTTATCTTTTTAACTTTTTTTTAGTTTTCTAACTTATACTATGAATAATTATAAGATAATGTAATTATTTTCCTTTTTCCTTTATTTCTCATTTTGTATCTAAGATCTGTAGCTAGGTACTTTGTACCTAAGATGGCATCGTGTGGGACGACTTTTCATTGTACTCCTGTACTTCTGTACATGAGTACACATGACAATAAAGGATATTCTATTCTAGTTGCCATGTAC